TTACATTTCTTCAAGTCCAAAATATAACAAACAAAGAAGTGGGCTGTGAAGTTAAAGTTTACTGGAGCATCAATTAGTTTAGTTTTTTTTTTTTGTTGGATAATTTCTGATTAGAGGAATCAGACCTGTTTTTAGGTTTGAAAACTCTCTGAACAAAAGGAAATTAAAGTTCTCAAAACAAAATCGAAATGATACAAAATGAAAATAAGCAAAGAAATGTCAAAACAAAGTGACAAGTCAGAGAGATGTTTTAATCAAAGCATCATCACTTCAAACTGTGTCAAACATCAAAAACAAGCAGGTTTGATAATGAATCTTTTCAGGTTCAGTACTTGTTTTAATTATCGTGAAACATTATTTTTACAGCTGACACCACTCGAATGGAGAGAATAATTTCTATACAAATACTGTTTTACTGTTTCCCTCTCGACATAAGCTTCACTGTGTGAGTGTGTGAGCGCACCTATCATGGACACCTGCTGTTACAGACTGGCTCAGAGTTCAGACAAATAAGGAGGAAGATCACACAAGGCTTAAAAATCAGGACGTGTTGAATCGGTGGAATCAGTTGTGTTAATGTAATGTATGGATGAGTGAAAATGTTGAGTGATGTCGCTGATGGGAGAGCGAGGGAGCGACGGACTGAGCAGGGAAGCTTTTAGAGGGTTGCCCAGCCCAGGTGAAGCGCTTCCTGGCCGATGACCTCCGCTCTGCTTGGTTGGTTCCTGAAAAGGAGGAGGAGGAAAAAGGGCGAACACACAGTTCAGGCAGAGCTGTGAGATATCCTCACCGCTGTGTTTCACGGACTTATTTTACCTCCTCTTCCTGCACTGCTCATGTTTTTTACCATGTAATTATCACCCCTGCTCTTCAGCAGCCGCAGGTGTGATTCCTTACAGGAGTGTGATGTTTTCATCCTTTATGTTATTTTATGTGTAAATCAGTAAATAGCACAGTTGTTGTTTCATTACTTTAAATTCATGTCATAGATATACAGATGATAATCCGCATGAGAATTAAAAGAAAAAGAAAACAAATCAGTTCTAATAATCGTCTGCTTACAGTGATCAATTTAACCCAGTCAGACGTCACTATAAGCAGTTTCCAGTGTATTTATATTATTTATTGTTAAAGTATAAACACGTCCTGACCTTCACCATCACTCAAACACTGAAGTGTTTCTACATTAGGAAACACAAAGTGAGTAAACAGTGAAATCATATTCAAAAGTTCCTCCGTCAGTCAGAACTTCTGACGTGCGACGTTAGTTTGACCCCCGTCAGTCTGATAATTCATTCATGCTCCTCGCTCGCAGTGCGGAGTTAATAAGGAGCCAGCGATCAGCGGGCCTCATCAGCGACGGCTGCAGAATGAATAAACGTGTCTGTCAGAGGCTCGGCAGTCTGCGCACGGATCCACACGACCACGTCTCTGATAAACTCTGTCGACCGGATAGAAAAACCCCTGTCAACTCATCCATGAGCAAATATCCATCTCTCAGTAATTAGTGCAGCCGGATGTCAGCCCTGACAGGAAGCGGTGACATGAGATGACAGCAACAGTATTATTTTATTAAATAATCAAATTCTTTATTTAATAACTGCTTTAATTCTTCGCTCTCAGGTGCTAAACTTCGAAGATTAAATCCCAAACTACTTTTTGTGTTTCATAAGAAAATCTTATTCTCGATGTCCTCGCTCCCACTGTTACCGCTGGGCTGGGTGAACCGAACAGGACTGGGAGTGCAGGGACCGGACTCACGGTTCCCAGATGATGAATCCTAAAGACCCTCTTGTTTTTCCTGAAGCGCCACCGCGAGGCCGACACTTGTGATTGCACAGCTATGCAACGAAATTTAGTGCATTTGGTGCACAAACGATCAGGATAAAAATAAAAGATGAGACAGAATAAATAGCATCAACATGAATTATAAAAACAGCAGAGGCCATGTTTTTTTTACTGGAGTACAGTGGATCTGTATTTATTATAATTTTTTGGTAAATATTTAAAACCAGAGAACAAGTAAAATGATCCTATAAACTGGTAGATTTCCTGTTTGTACCAGACACGTCCTGAAGGCTGAACTTGAGTCAACAAAGACTTATAGGATTGTTGTTTTTCTCCTCCCTTACACCCTGAAATGCAATTTCAAACCGCTCCAAAGATTCGGATCAGAAACTACAAACAGAAACAAAAAGGAGGCTGCAGTCGATAAGTCAGTACGAGTCAGTTTACCAAGCGGGTGAAGGACCAGACAAGGTCGACTTCTTTTTCAACAGTTCTTTCAGCTGAGGGTCTGTTGGTAAGAACAAGCTGCGAGCTGCCGACAGATCTGACAGATCTGATCAGTCTGATCAGTCCAGGACGGGTATCTGAGAGGTTCAGGGATGAATCTGCAGAATACTCTGTCTTCGAAGTTCAGCTCGGAGCATTTCGACACTGTTAGAGCTCTTTGTTGTAGAGATACAGCAAAGGACACTGTTTTTAAATCTATAATAGTGGTTCAGCTGTAATGTCACAACAAAGCTGGTTGTTGCTACCGAGAAACACTGAATTAAGGTCTGAAATTACAGGATATTCTTTAGATGACTGTATTTGAACATGTAGATATGATCCTTGAAAATGCTGGATATCAAACTTAAATACTTTTTTTGGTACAGACTGAAATTGCCTGTAGAGCCAGTTATCAAATCTCATCAGATATGAATCTTTGAGAATCTCGTAGCCCCTAATTTTACAGAATTTGACCAGTTTTAGACTCGAATTAATTAAAGGTCTTCTACATCTGCATGTGACAACCTTCAAAACTTCCGAAGTTTGGCTGAAAGCTGGGCAGTTAACTTTAAAAAGACATTTAGAACGTCTCACCGACTTAATCTTGGGCACGTCTGTTAATTCAGTTTATACTTTCCCCAATGTCCCTCCACCCCGTCCAACTAACGTCCAACAGGCCCCGTTCTCTCAAAGCAGAGCTGGAGATGTGGACGACACGAGCGCAAACACTGAGCATCAACCCGAGCAGCTTCTACCTTTTGGCAAAATTTTGGCTTTAGAGAAGATGACACCAAACAAAAAGAAGTCGAAAGTAAACACCGCAGAAAAACGACTTTGGTGACCAACGCGACCGATTCTGTTTTGTAACTTGGAACACACTCACATCGCTGAATCTAATTGTTCGTTAATCGTAATCGAGGTAAAAGAACAAGAAGTTTTGCTAGAAAAACAATGTGTGTATCATATTACGAGCTGAGAGAAGAGATGATGTCATTGATGATGCGTTCACAGGTGTTAAAAGTGCTGCGGGTGGAGCAGGCGTAGAAGCACAAGGTCTGATTTTGAGTTCAGAACTTGCTCCTCAGCGACAGGACTGGGTAACCCCCTCAGTGTGACTAAAGGAAGTTTGGATCAGTGTAAATGAGACACCGAGGGCTGATTTTTAACTGATTCTCTGGGGTTCCATTTTGAAACAGGCTCAAATTAAACGGCTTATCTTTTCCTCTCTCTTATCACCTCTGAATTTTCCACTTGTCTCTTTGACTTGAGGCCAGTTTCCATCATCGGAGCTGTTTAATCTCCCATTTGTGAAATGAGGTGCCGTTTTCTGCCCAATAAGCAAACGTCATTCAATTTCCACCCGGCTTTCATCTCCTCTTTTGAGTCTCGCTGACATCGAGTTTAACGGACGACTCATTGGATGATCTCCCGCTCGGTGTGAAGCTCTCAGACAGAACAGCCTTAGCGAAACTGCAGCGATGACAGGCGAGATGGGTTTTTATAAGACTCAGGGACACTTCACTTTCCACCAATTTCCTTTCTCGTCTTTTGTATTGATCATCCACAGACTGACAAACCAAGTCAAGGACACATGAGCCCAAAGAATCATGTACGTTTAGTTATAACCCTGTTTTCAAATCGTACGTATATCTGCTGGCAGCTGTGGCTCAGGTGGTTGAGTGCATCAGTCGTTGTGCTGTGAAGTGTCCTCAAACTAGAGACTGAACCCCAGAAAGCTTCCTAGATTTAAATTGTTTTGGCCACAGGAGAGAAATTCACCCAAACATACTGTGGGTTTACCTCGTGTCAAGGAGTTTGTCGGTTACTGGGGCCAGAAATAACTAAATTAGTGCTAAAGAGGTTTGTCCAGGGTAGAAGAAGAAGCAGAAACTAAAACTGCTTAGTTTGAAAGCATGCTGCTACTGCCAGCTGCATCTTTTTCTACAGAGTTTACCTTGGATAATGGCCTTCAGCGGACCACTCGATTGTTGGATTTCTTTTCATTATAAATTAATTTCTGATTAAATTTTGACAAGAAAAGTCTCATCATGCAGCTACTAAAATGTTTAAAAATACATAATATTTTATTTTTCATGTCTGTGTTATATTCAGATTCAGCCTAGACATTGAAACTATAGTGAAAGGGATCTATCTGTGCTGTTTTGTTCAGATGTATGAAGTTCAGTTTATTTAACATAATTTCAACAACATTTTCTCTGGTTTGATCAAAACTTGAGTTTGATTTTAACTGTGTATTTCAAAAATGGAAGTCCATTTGCATGTCATGTGACCCCGAGGTAAGATCCTTCCTGCCATAAAGAGACAGTAGAGAAGGTTTTCCTCTTCTCTTCAGTGCAGTGCGGGTGTTGTTGGAGCAGCATCTAGTGGACATCAGAGGGACTGCAGACAAACACGATGCAGCTTTCAGGACACAACCCTGGTTGAAGTTGTTCTCTCCTCCGTAATTGGTCGAGAGGCTCTTCCTGGTGAAGTGGTTGAACCTCTTACCTGAGACCCTCCCTCCTGATTGGCTAATCACTGCCATCTGTTACCACCTCAGCTGCTGTTTGGTTAATCACTACACCGTCCGCTTCTTCAGAGGAGACCTCTCCTGCTGTGTCTCCACTTCACCTTTTGATTGGTTTATTGATTTTGGATATTTCTGATTGGCTGCCTGATGAAATCTTTTTTTTTTTTTCCCTTTTTAAATTTTTTTTTCCTCTCAGCTGGACAACGTGGACGAGCAGGCGGCTCAGATCCGCAGAGAGCTGGACGGCAGGTTACAACTGGCCGAGAAGATCGCCAGGGTGAGAAACTCACTCACAAAACACACATTTTTTTTATTTTACTGCTCTTATTATACTATTTATTACAGATAGGCGTTTGATTTGTGTGTTCACGTCCCTGAAAACAGAAATATCCAACCTTCGAACTCATTGTTTAAACCCCCAGAGAGTTATCACCATCTTTTACCCTCTTTTAGCTCCTAGTTTTGGTGTTACAGCACATTTACCGTCTGGTTCAGTCTCTGTTTTGACAAACAGCAGTCAGACAGTTGGAGATGAGCTGGTGCAGAAAGTGGAACATCTAGAAGCTCAAGAGACAGGAGTTGGTGGAGACCAAACCAGAGCTAAAAAGGAAGACTGAATATGGGACTTACCTTCATTAGCTGGACGCAAACACAACTTGAGATCATCATGTTGCTCTCTGTCTGCTGGATGTTTGGCTTATTGCTAGTGTTAGCTGCTGCCCCCAAGTTACCAAAAAAAAATAGTTTCCCTTGTATTTTTACTTTATATTTGAATAAAATCCAATAAATCCAAATTGCAATCAATTAATTTTCTCGAGCCTGGCTAATCATTTAATTGTTTCAGCACATAAAGAGTGAAAACAGATGCACATCTATCTTGTTGAATGTGAACTCACAACCTTGTCAATTACTCCCACTGAAGTTTCTTTTCTCCTCTATGAAGAAAAGTACAATATTCACAGTCAAATCGGGTTCAGAGGAATCAACGAGATCACTGATTAAAATCCTGCTCAGTTGTCACAGGAAGTGTTTTTATTGGGAGACAGTTTCATGGTGGTATAACAAAGCGAACAAATGATCTCCTAATTAGCTGTTAGCCGCTGATTTTAATTGTTGTTGTTGTTGTTTTTATAGTTTAAAAGCCAAAAAAAATGAAGCTAATTGTTTAATGACGTGCATGTTGATGTGAAACCTTTGTGTTGACGCTTAACTCAGTCTGTGTCCCGCAGGAGAGGAGATACCCAAAGTTTGTCTCCGCTGACATGGAGGCTCTGTACGTGGAGGAGCTGCGTTCGTCCGTCAACCTGCTGATGGCGAACCTGGAGAGTCTGCCCGTGTCCAAAGGAGGTCCGGACTTCAAGCAGAAGCTCAAACGCTCCTCTATGAACAACTCCTTCCTGGACATGGGAGACGAGGGAGACATCCTGTCCAAGTCTGACGTCGTGCTGTCCTTCACTCTGGAGGTATGGCTGTCTTTGTGAGGACCAGGGTGAGGACGTTTTGTCCAGACCTCACTTTCTGATGCACATTGGTTAGAATGATGGTGAGGTAGGGGATGCATTATGTGTGTCCTCACAAAGATAGAGGTACAAACAAAGTGTGTGTGTTTCTCAATGATCTATCAATTCCAGTAATTTATCGCAAAATAACACAAAAATATAATATATCACTGCAGTTTTAATGAAAGCAGATCCTGATGGCGTTGAAGATTCCGCTTGTTAAACCTTGCAGCTTAAATCCATAAACACGTAATGAGGTTTTATGTGTTTGGTTAGTGCTTTCTCTGGTAAACAGGCTTGATCTGCATTTACTGCTCATCCACCGTTGTCAGCCTGAACTTCTAAAGTGCTTTATTCAAACAGACTGCAGTGGTGGAGGTGGAGCAGTTAAATAACTGATCATCGTTTGATATGACTGAATTCGGCTCTCCGTCTCGTCCTCTGGTGTTTTCAGATCGTGATCGTGGAGGTCCAGGGTCTGAAGTCCGTCGCTCCAAACCGGATCGTTTACTGCACCATGGAGGTGGAGGGAGGAGAGAAGCTGCAGACGGACCAAGCTGAAGCCGCCCGGCCACAGTGAGTTCTTCTTCTTCCAGTGTTTCGGTTTGATCTCAGAGAGGAGTTTAACTCATCGTCACATATCGACCTCCAGACCAGTTGTGGTGTCACAAAATCATCTTAAATGAGATTTTCAGTGAGCACAGAGATTTTCTGCAGATGAATGTGAAAACGTCCTTCACTGTCAAACTCATTCCTTAACTGTACATTCACCGTTCTGCACAGTGAAGGTCAAACAGCCGCATGTTGTAACAAAAAGCCCAACACATGTTTGAGTGGAGTGGTGCTTAAAAGAAAGATGCAGTACTGTTGAGCATTTTAACTGTCATTTATAACATTTCTTAAGGTTCCTCTGGAGTGTTTGGACCTAAATTTGATGTGTGTTGGAAAAAACGTAAGAAAGGTTTCCTGATTCAAATCAATAAATATCTGATGATAAGATTTGCTGGCAACTTTCAATACTCTGCACTTTAGGTTTTACAGATCTGGTTTAAACTGGTTGAGTAAATGGCAGTGGCATCTTGTTTCCACCTCGTAAGGAAATAATTAGTAATGTCAAATGGTCAGTTGGTCAAACCACCGCTTTGGTCCAAACTGAAATATCTTGCATTCAGGATTTCCATAGGATGAACTCTACTGACAGTTTTCAGTTTCTTGCTGTAGATACCAGCCGGGTTTCCATCGCAGTTTTATGCAAAGCAGATCAATTCTTTCTATTTTTTTTTCCAACAATACACAATTGCAAAAGGTCTGTGTTTCCATTGAGTGGTGTAATCCAAATAAAGCTGGGTTTTCTCCTCACGTTATATCCTTCCAAATAAATGTGACAATGGAATTTTCAGCAGTCTGCCTCATCTTGAATACCAAAAAAAAAAGCATGTCCGTTTCAATTTTGCGAGATATTGCTTTGTTGGATAGTCTGAAAAACCACCTCATGTGAGCGTATGTATTCACGTGTTTTAATGTCTTGTTTTTAAGTTCGCAATTTCAATTTACCGTTAAGCAGGTAAATGGAAACGCACCTATTGATTGGACCCTTCTGCAGCTTAAAATGACGATGTTTTACAGCAACAAGACGAAGTCCTCATTGTTGTTATTAGATATTTAAAGATGTGCATTCACGTCATGGACCCTTCCATCAGGACAACTTCAAACAAAGAATTGGCCCAATTCAAGCCAGGGAATGTGGCGGTTACCATCTCAGAGCCGACATTTTCTCAGCTGCGGTGTGAGACCAGCCCATAGAGACAAATCTAAAGAGCAGGAGTCATTAAGTAGAAGCAGGTGGGATCCTAACAAAGGTTACTGTTGATGGATAGTGTGACACGGAGCTCTGGGGTGTGTTTGTGCAGAGGAAACACAAACTGTGTTCAGAGCTAATGTTCACTACACAGGAAGCTTCAGTCTGTTCTTGACGCCTAATTGGATTAACGTCTGAGCTCTTGATGATGAAGTGAACACACAGGACTCGGTGAAACGCCTCCGTAACACAGTTCCCCGACACTGAACCCCTGCAGAGCCACAGCTTTGAAATGCAAACAGAAGAAGACTAAGCTCTACGTTTTATGTAGCAGGGGAAGAGTTTGACCCTTAGCTTCCACAAACACCACACTCACCCGCCCCGAGCCATGCTTCTCATCCTGCAGTCAAGGCTGGTGCAGCCAGAGGAGGAGGCTGTTATGTAACAGTGATGGGAACCGGTCTTTCCTCAACACACAAAACATAAACACACATTCTGTTTTTTTGGAGGGAGCTCAAAGCCGTCCTTATATTTCAGTTCTCAGTCCCAGTCAGACCTCTGATGTCTTTCACTACTTTAAAGAGTAGAGAGACTTTGTAGAGAGACTGAAGCTCCTGTGAGGCTGTAATGTTTATTACACCATACACCAGCAAACTAAACGGTTACTGGTACGTACTCTTAGCTTCTTATAAAAAAATCTCTGCATAAAATGTACAGTTTGACCTGAGGGTGGCGCCAGAGGAAAGGTCATAACATTGTTTTATGCTCTGTACGGTGGCTGTTTTAAGACATCTCAGCTCTCATCTGTAATTTCATTACAAACATTACCATGCTGACAAGCTACCAATGTTGTTACAGTCCTATTGTAATGCTAACATGCTAAAGGGCTAACATTTGCATGTTAATGCTCCATTTTTTCCTCTTCTTCTGTGTTTTATTTGAAGTGTTGATCCATAAGAAGATGTATTTGTGGTTTTAAGAACCAAAACCCATCTCAGTGTAGTTTTACATCTCCTCTCTCAGGCTTCTCTCTGCAGCTCTAGTAATAACAGGTCGGTGAGCCAATCAGAAGAGAGGAGGCTCTGAGCCTCTCTTCTGATTGGCTGACAGTTTTCTGAGTGATCCAATAAAAATATAGCAGAGAAACCAAATCCTGCAAATGTTTGGATGGTGGGTCCAGGTCAGTGGGGTTTTGGGGTGTGGCTTAGAGCGGTGACTCCTTTGTTGTGACGTCACAAACTTACAGAACCTAGACCTGCTTTACAATCAAAAAGACATAGAAATATGAAAGTGAAAAGGCACAAATTATATATCTTCTTATGGCTCAACAATTAAAACACAATAGTGGAATGGGAAAATATGGGACCTTTAAATCAAACGTTTTACACCTTGGAAGTAAATAAAACGGAAGTAGCTAAAATATCGGAACGTGTTTTTCCTGAATCGCCTCTGACCAGAAAAATGATTCCACTGATTCTGACTGGTTCTCCTCCATCTTGCTCCTGTTTAGCAGAAAGCTTTCATTCCCACCTGTTAACTGTGTGCTCTTCTTTGCCGTGGCGTCGCAGCCTTGTCACTCTGCGCTCAAAGTTCTCGGTGACAGTTGTTGGTGGTTGGATGCCTGACGGACGGCGGGGGTCTGCGCCGTAATGAGGCTGCCCTTTCACACGCTCCGGCTCTGGTTTCTTTTTCTTTTTCCTCTGAAGGGCCCCTGTCTTCCAGAATCAGAGCCAATTAGTAAAGCTCACCATCACCTGACGACCTCGCTGGTCAACAGGGATCCTGTGAGCTGTGAACTGGCTTTACTGCAGCTCCTGTAACCTTCACCGTAATTAGCCTGCAGAGCACTTTCACATCCCTCATCTTCAATAACACACCCGTGCTCTTAATGACATTGTAGTTAACTGTAATTACACGGACAACATGATTAGCTGTGATTACACCGGCGTCCAATTGCTCTGATGACTCCTGCGGTTGTAGCGTAACAGCGCCTTAATCACTGAGGACCTTTTCATTAGTAATACCCTTAATTATTGTGGAATGTCAAGCATCTGTGATCCACTTTGCAGACCTCACCACTGTTTCTGCATGTTTACTACAAATGATGTACACTCCGAACGATTGATCAGTTCCCCTCAGATTCCTCTCAGGTTGGCTTTAGTTGTTTCTGTTCAGGATTGATTTATATTTTAAAAAAATGTAAATGAAGTTTGTTAATTGTCTTGGTTGTGGTTCAGGGTTCAGGGTTTAACACACAAACTAACGCATCTTCCTCTAGAAAAATGGAGTCGGATGAAACGTGGACCAGACTGTGACGGTGCAATGAATCATTTTCTGTCCGATTCAGACCAATGTTGAACAACACATCACAAACGTTGTCCAGTCCTAATTCCCCCAGATAAGAACAATCTCCAGAATCAAACCAGTGCTCAGAAAAAGTCATTCACAAGTTTATCTCCTCTTCCTCTCTGGCGTAAACCAAAAGTCACTCTCCCGCCACCAACTAGTTCAGAATACAAGCTGGCTCGAGGCTGAAATCTAAAGGTGCCCTCGGCTTTAGAACGACAAGCCGGGAGAGATAAGGCAGAATCAGTGTGATGTCGTCTTTTTTATTATCCTCTTATTGCTTTCTTTTCTTACTGCATCTACTCTCTCTAATTGTTTTTACTTATATTGAAGTATATAGTACGTCTTCCCTCTTTAACTTTACCTCCTGTCTGACCTGCTGTTGTCTGGCCGTGCCAAGCGCCAACCTCTGGGGCTGAAACATGAAGCCAACGTTGAAGTGCTAAAAACTGCAGTTCCTCTAATGTCCACTAGAGACTGGCTTGAACAGTGAGTCAATCCCCATAGACTCCCATGATAAAATATCCAACTTTACAGCAGAAATAAACATGTTTACAGCCTGGTACAAAAAAAGTGTGTTGGTTTAATTAAGTAATTCATGTCTTTTCTTTGGTCGTGTCCGTGCCTCGACCATTTCCCAAAATATATCGTTGAGTCGTTAGACCTAGTTCACAGCGCCGTCCAGCTCTCTACTCTCAGATACTCACGCTACTCTATCAACTCTGCTCACTGCCGCCCCCATATGTGCACGCTCACTAACCGCCACCCCCTCCCCCAACCATCTTGTCAGTGATTGGCTGGAACGTGGTTTGTTATGTTTTGGGGCACAGCCTGTGCCCCTAGTGTTTGTTTGCCATTTGTGACGCCTGTGTTGTCTCCAGAGGCCGCGGTTTTTCACAGTGTATTCAGGGGGCAGGCAGCTAGCGGATCAAGGGGAGATGCACTGAAACCATGCAGGAATGCATAGTGCACCTTTAATATTATTAATGAACACAATTAACAGCTGAGATTTCACCATGAAATTGTCTAGTTTTGATATTTTTATTATTCAATGTCTCAGAATGAAACCATCATTATGTTATCACTCACGTTAAAACACTGATCTCAGGTCAGTTAAAACATGAGCTGTTTGTATCAGTGTCTCCTCAGGCTTTTGCATCTGATGTCTCTGATTACTTTAAAAATACTGTGTGTGTGTGTGTGTGTGTGTGTGTGTGTGTGTGTGTGTGTGTGTGTGTGTGTGTGTGTGTGTGTGAAGCAAACACACCTTTCAGCACAATGTTGCCTTGGAAACTGGGCAAACTGAATATGGAGCTCGACTTTGCTTCTCACCCTCAACAAGTGAAGGGGTCACCACTTGTCATCTGTGTGCACCACACACATATACACACTCACAGATGCACACTCTTGCACACGTAAACTGACAGTTTTGACATAAAGGCGTGTAATCACAGGAGCGCGGCTCTCGGTGTGTATAATGGCCGTGTCCTCATCATCCTGAACAGAGGGCTCACTCCGCTCCATTAGACTTTCTGTGAGATGAACAATAAGTGATTCTTGATAACAGCTGCCACTGATGGGACTGTTTATCGCCTCTGGATCTGTGACTAAGACCTGATGTGATGTTATTATAGGAAACAGCAAAATGAGCAGGGTGACCTCTTGTTGTTGTGATCTTTGCAGCAACTGCGATTAAAAATGAAAACGCCTGTTTTTAGATGTACATTATATTCTTTTCTTTGCAGTAGCTACACTTGGGGCTTTGTTTGTGCTTTTGAAAACAGAAACAGACTCTGTTTCTCATGAGGCTTTAGGGAACTAAAAAACTGTATCCTCATAAAGCTTGAGTGCATCTCACGAGCTCATCTCTCCCTGTGAGATTATAATCTGCAAAATATCACCTGAGATTCAGTCGAGCTCGACAGATGCTGTATGTGCTGGAACAATCAACAAACACCATCTCTCGCAAAAAAATACTTATTGAAGCCTAAAACTGTGTCGCTGGCTTGTATAGATACAAAATGAAGCAGGATTCTATTTTTATTCATAAATGGATTTTGTGATTGATATTCTGACACCCTCCATGTTTTATACATTATACAACAGTTAGTTCTGACCAAGTAATTTGATTGGACAAGAGGCATTCCATGTGTGCTGATGCAAGAGTACAACCAGAGAATTTGGTACAACAGCACTGGGACTTTTAACTACATGTATCACTCCGCTTCACAGGTAGTCTGTTAACCGTTAATTAGCGTTACATTAACGGTTGTTATCTGTCTTCGATTGTAACAAACTTTGCACAACGAAGATAAATATGTTTCCAGAAATATCATTTGAATTAAATTATGTATGGTAGTCAGAAGTGGATGGATACTTCAGCGCATGCTCGCGTGCGGGTCAGTGTTGTCTGCGGCCTCACCCATGACCGAATCGCAACCATATACAGTACTCCCGCTCGTGTTGTATTGCTAACGGCACACTGTGGGCTGCAATATCAGTGTTTTCCCGCGTCCTGGAAAACTGCCGCCCAGTTTCCAGTCATGTTAACACATAAAATGTCCTGGAAAGTTATTTCAGCATTCTCCTAGTGTCGGGCAAAGTTATGTTCAGGGTCATGTTGACGTTCAAATGGTAGGCTAGCTAAAATTCTAAATACTGTCTATAGGGGAGAGTGGGGTAAGTAGTGCCATTTTTTACTTAAAGTGCCTTTAAAGCAAGGGGACTACAGTAATGCCTCCAACTAAAATATGTACATATAGTTTAGGATGTTGTGCATCCTTGGGAACAATCACTTTGGATCTTAAATAAACTGTTTGAGAAATGTAGCTTTAGAAAAAAAAGTGGTCTTGTGGCACAACTTGCCCCCGGTGCGGGGTAAGTTGTGCCATTAGAGAGAATACACTGGGGTAAATTGTGCCATTGATAATTGAAGTAAAACAGATCATTTTAATCTCACAAACGATAATGCTATATAAAAGCAAGACAAATTCAATACAAAATTACGTATTTAACGTTTATTTAACAAACAAGGCCTGACATGAACTTGCTGCTAGTGTCATAATATGTTGAGCTAGCTCTTTCTCCATGTTCTCATTGAAGACTTGTTTGGCCACTGCTGTTCTTTCATAGCCTGGCTTTGTTACTTCTCCTATTTTTTTCTTATCCATATATCTTTTTATGGTCATCCTGCAGATCTTCATCTCCTTTCCAACCTGACGTATCGTCTTCCCCTGTTGCACCTCTTTTACTGCTCTTTCCAGCTCCTCAAGAGGAGTTGAAACCCTCTCTGTCTTCCGTTTGTCTTCACGTGGCATGATGGATTTTGGTCTAAAATTAAGAATGTCACATAGTTTTATTGATCAAATGAAAGAATACAATGTACAATAACAATAAAATACAATAAAGTAATATATAGTAAATAATCATAAGTTGGGTAACCCAGGCCCTTTGGCACAAATTACCCCAAGCCCACCATTTTGAAAAAATGCATCCCCTAGCTGTTTTGAGCTTGCATCATGCTAACTGTATAGACTCATGGTGTAGCTTACTAAAGCACTAAAACGTGTGTGAACTGTTTTCAAAGTTATCTATAATTGTTCAAACACAGCAATCAAAAAAACATGATCATAGAAAATTTACTTTGGAGGGCAAAAAATTGTTTTTTGAACTTAAATGTGCTTACCTCTCAAGCCATGTGTCTCCCTTATTTGCAGGATGAGTGAAACAGATGCCTCTTCATGTGATCACATGACCAACTTCTTCTATGGTTTTCTAGATAACAGGGGTGGCACTACTTGCCCCTTGGCACTAATTACGCCACTCTCCCCTATACTGTCAGTAATATAAGACAGTATTTTGAATAGGCGGTTTTGTTTGGCAATGCAGTGAACGCACCTCGAAGTCACGTCACATGCGATGGGGGTTGGAAATCTGAGGAATGTAAGTTACGTTATCCTTTTTAATGTACATGCGTCACTGTTGGCTGCTAACGGTGGCAGTTTATGTCAAGGTTCTAGACTAACGGTCGCAACGGTTTAGCATGTTTCGTTCAGTTGTTTGCTAGCTTGTTTTGCTCGTAGCTAAAGTTTAAAGATTTGTGATTCAAATCTGGCGGAGCAAATTGGTAAATGTGAGTTGGTTCATTGCTGAGAGTTGGATAATAATAAATGTGAAGCCGGGTTCAATACAACAAATGGAAGTCAAACTGTATGTTAGCCAAACACCGGCTGAATAGTTGCTAACGGCTAACGGCACTTTTTTACTTTGCTAGCATCTTTGCTAGCGTCACTTCAAACCCGATATTGCGTTGTTCAGGTAAAACAGACCATAATATGACGTGACATGTTTTACTGTTGTAGTGGTAGCTCACAGTGGGTGTGATTAACATCGTTAAAGATTTTACTTCCTGTAACTAGTAAGGGGGTTCAAGTGTGATAAACTGGTAATACCCAGCAACAGTAAATAATCTGTGCTAATTCAACATTGAATCATACATTTAACTGCACGTTCAGTCTAGACTTTTCAGTAGGGAAAATTGTAGGCTATTATTGTGTTATTAATGTTCAAGCAGGAATGGTTAATATAATTCATAAAGAGGTTATATATTAATGATGATGATAATTAGAAGATTTTACTTATGAATTCCTGCATTCAGGATAAGCAAGATTTTATAAAGTCAAGTATAGACTGCTCTTATTTCTGCAAATAGGAACATATTGGTGTATGGTGTGATTCCTGTCATCATATGAGCTCGATCATCACTGGAAATGTCCTGGAAAAGTCCTGGAAAATGATCTTTACAAAAGAGTGGGAACCCTGAATTTTAGAAATTGACCTGCTGACCAAATACTACAGAATATGTTCATATCTTATTGTGTGGACCAGTTAACGAATCTCAGCTAACCTTGGTTTCAAAAATGCGACGTTTCTATAAGCTGCTTCACAGTAAAAGCCTCCTACTGGTTTTTAAGGTTAAGCAACAGCGGCAGGAAATGTTGGGTCAGATCTTGCCACAGCCCAGCTGGTGCAGGTGAAACTGGGCCAAGTGAAAAAGTCCTAATTGTGAGTCTGTTTGTTTGTCCCTCAGGTGGGGGACTCAGGGGGACTTCACCACGACTCACCCTCTGCCCTCGGTCAAAGTAAAGCTGTTCACAGAGAGCACCGGGGTCCTGGCTCTGGAGGACAAGGAGCTGGGCCGGGTGAGTCCACCTGCACTGCACTGCACTTTATTTATCAGTTTGATCACCTCACTTCGTTTGATCTCTGTTGACCTAAAGAGAAAATGAACTCAACTGTCTCCCTGGAAAATGAACTAATTAACCACTGAACTACTGAATTGACAGGGTCATATTTTTAAATCCAGACAAACATCATTGTGGACCTCCATGTTTCCTGGTATCAGAAGCTGACTGGTAACAGTCAGATCTCATCACTTTCACATCCTGTTGATTCTGACAGCAGCAAATCAGTCAGCATCAGTATCAACACCACAGCATGTGAGGGGGGAGGAAGGGGTGGGTTGGTTTAATTTTAAAAGAATGTGTCCTTTTAGAGACGTCTTGGATTATGTTAGTGTGTAAAAGACATTTTTACCATGAATTCTGCCTTTTCATATGAAATTAAGTCTTCAGATGACCCAGGCATCCAAAGTCTGGTTCAGAGCTTTAACTGGTAACCAGATTTTGTGACTCTCTCCCAGTTCCTGTGAATCATCATGTGTCTCTATTATGTGACCACAGACAACAGAAACGTTTTACTTTGTGTGACCCCTGCTGAAAATAGATGCTGTGCTAATTGCAACATGAAAGACAGTAAATTCACACTTCAGATGTGAATTTATTTCAAAGGCTGTTCACAGTAAAATGCTGTTAACAGATCAGAGAACAGTCGACTCTCCCTGGCTGTTTTTATTGGCATGCAATGCTAAGTCAAAGGCAACAGGACTCACTTTATATTCATGAGCACATTTCACCCTCATCCAGAAGCTTCTTCACTGTCTGGTACAAAGTCCCAAATCCAACAAGGTGTTAGTTAGTCTCACACTAGTTCCTGACTCCCCCCGCCCTGTCTGTGGCGCTCAGCAACTGAAGATAGAAATCTTTAATCACAGCTCACAAATATATAGTTTGATTATTTTGGGTTCATTAATTTCCTACAGCAGCTGGTCGCTGTGGATTTTAGCAAATATTAGTCATCAGGAAGAACTCGTTAGTGTTGGGGACTTTTTTCAGCGGCAGATTAATTAACAAATAAACAACTCTCATGACAACTTTATATGACCTCACTCACTGTGGGATAAAGAAACTGCAATTCCAGTCAGTCAATACACAAACGCAATAAAAGCCTGCCAGTGGAGAACCTTTAATGTTAACCATCAGTGTTGTGTTTCTATCTCAGAGACAGCTGAAGGTGATCGGCAAACAGTAAAATAAGACTGAAGGTAGTAGTACTTCCAGATGCACCATCATCTGGATGATTGAGAATCTTAACAGACAAATTACAGCAGTTCATGAAATATAAAATCAGCTCCAACTGTCACTAAAGTTTTAGACACTTTAATCACTGACAGACTCTGATTGGACAGTCTGGAAGTCTGTCTGGGAGCTGTAGGTTCAGGTGTCCTTCATGATGCTTGAACATGAATGAGGTGCAGACACAGTGAAGAAAATGAGCTGCGGTTGCTGGTTAATTGACTCTTGCAGGGATCAGAGCTGCTGTTTGACTTTTGTATTTGATTTCATGAATGCGCATATGAAGGTGACAGTGCACCAGAACCAGCTGATCGCTGGTTTGAGCATATGAGTGGAGGGAGAACCTCACTGTACTTCACCTTGTGAATCCTTTTTTAATCTAAGGTAACATGAGTTCAGGCGGTGCTGTGCAGTGACTGGTTATGACTTAGGGAGTGGAACTAATAGCACCCACACTAAATTTTATATTGAGATTGACAAACAAGCTGTATATAATATGAATCTGCCACGTCCACTTAAACCCACTCTGATGCTGATGAAGCAGATGTGATCGGTGCACGCCTGCAAGAAAAACACTTTGAAGATGGTGTAAAGATTTGTCTGGAGGATCTGCAGCAGAGACACACAGTGGACTGGTGTTGTGCCCCGTCTGAGGGTGAGGGAGACACGGCATGAAAAGCCCCAGACAGACAGAGGGGAGATAATTTTAATAACTGATATGTTTTATATAGAATTGTTTTGAAAAGATGGAGCTAAGATGGAGCTACTGTCACCAACTACAGGGCAAGACAGAAGACTGATAATTATTTAGTTGATGTTATTGGTTGGTTTCATGACCATGTCACTGTGTATCCCGCCCCCCTCTGCTCCTCAGGTGGTCCTGAACCCAACCACCAACGGACCAAAGCAGGCCGAGTTCCACCGGATGGTCGTCCCCAAGAGCAGCCAGGACACTGAGCTGAAGATCAAGCTGGCGGTCCGCATGGACAAACCCCCCAACATGAAGCACAGCGGGTGAGTGTGCTGCTGCCTCTCCAGTTTTGAAAGGCTATACTTTAGCCACAGAGCTCATGTGTTATACATGGTGTCAAAAACAGCTTCCATATCTTCAAAAACATTTTTTTGTGCCTGATTTGAAGGTGGCAGTCAAAAGTAATATTTGGTTTGGAGTTGAAGGAAGGAGGCAAACTGATTATCTATGAAAGATGTGGAAGACAGCACAGCCCCCTCCGGACAGTTCACAGTGAAGTTATAGACAGGAAAGGCAGGGAGAGAGAGGAGGGATGTGACATGCAGCACGTCCCTGGTCGTAATCGGATATGAGACTTTGCAGTTATATTAACCACTCACCCCCCAGAACACCTGGAGGTTTTGAACCAGCTTCCACATTTGAGTCAGTTTTCATTCATGTGTCAAATAGAGAAGTAAAACTTAACACATCAGTTTCCTCCCAAAATTATTAACAAGAACCTTGAGAATGCCGAAAATGATAATACCATATGCAGGATGTTTTATTCCAGTGTGTGTTCAAACAATGTCTGTCTGTTAAATTCTGCACCAGGCAGTTGTAATCAGACACAGTCAGGTTTGCAGTAGAAAAGAGGTTGTTTATGTGGTTAGGGTCAGAAGCAGTGGTTGAGAACGAAGGAGGCAGCAGGACAGGTAACAGGACCAGGACCCATGGTTGAGGCTGAGCAGCCTGTGGACAGGGTCTGGACAGGACCAGAGTGCACCTGAGGTTCAGGTAAACACGAATTAGAAAGGTACAAATTTCTCAAGGCAAAGGTTGGCTGAAGTTTTTGTACCGTCAGGATCAGGTGTGCAGGACAACGCACACACACACACACACACACACACACACACACACACAGATAAAAAACCAGACAAACAAGAAACACAAGGGAAGAAAGAGAGGAAATGCAAGAACACTTGACAGTGTCTGTTTAAAGCATGAGCAGGTGGACAGCTCCACCTACTGGTCAAATACAGGAAGTAGAAACAGTCTGAGGATGTGGTCACCTGATCATGAGACAATAACAGCTCGTTGTTTGATCCTAGTTTTTAAAATCACATTCAGACACATGTTCATGTCAAACTGATCCTGACATGCAGACGTGATGGTGTTTATTTACACTATATGATCCCTAAACTCACACTTAGGATTAACTGTAGTACAGTTAATACAAATTATGTTCTTTAGAAATTCACTTGTGATCTTTTGACATTTAAAATTAACATTATTTAAAATCAACACTAGAAAGTTTGTTTATTGAAGATTCATTGATTTTAAAGTTATATTGGTTTTTTCATAGTTTTAGAAAATGTGAAATTATCTTTTGGTTTTTGCTAAAGACCAAACATGTCCATCATCCATCTAGAGATTTCCCTCAGTTTCCCGTCACGTTTCAGCCTCAAACCTCAAAAATACTTTGGTATGGAAAGAGTCAGTCTGCAATTATACTGTTTAACATCTGATTTTTTTTTTCTTGTGTTGTTCCTCCTTAGTATTGCTTGTGTATTGCATTTGCAATCCTTGAGTTAGACGGATTAAAATTAAAGTTAAATTTACTTTTGAAAGATTTAAATTTTATTCAATAAAAATTCATTAATCTTTCAGATTTAAGCAAAACTCCATAAACATGTTGAACTAGCTGAGGATGTGTTTGTGTGTGGTTAAGTTCTCATTTTCAGCCAGAAGGTGGCAGCAAAATCAAATTTTCAAACCCATAATCCTTCATTTGATTTAACACCACAGAAGTGTGTGTTTCTCTGTTGTTCTTTTGAATATTTCAACGCTTGAACCCCCCCCCCCCACACACACACACACACACACGAACACAGTTTAAAGCTGCAGTCACAGAAACATTTGATGATGCTCAGATATTAAGAGACGCTCCAGAACTGTTTGATTGTTTTAATCCTCATAAAATGACAGATTTTACAATTAAAGTTTTTCTCCATTGTTTTGATGGTGTGTTAACAAATTATTTCTATTTGCATAAAAGCAAATACCAAAAGGTGGTTGACACGATCATCAATAAGACACATTGGGACCTAAAACAAAACACTGCAATTAAAAAAAAAAACTCCTCACTCAACACATCCAAATTGTTTTTTTCTGACGTGAGTTCAGCCTACAGTCATTTAATGTTGATAAACAAAGCAAAAAATGAAATTAGAATATTTCACACAGTCTGTTTACTGCTCCGAGTCTTGCTCGTCATTTACAGCGGGTCATAGATTTTCATTCACATCGTGCCTCCCGTCTCTTCCTCCCTCAGAAAACACCTCAGTTAAATAGTTTGTGTGGCAAACAGCAACATCTGAGTGCGACCTGGAGATTGTTTTATTTGTGTTTGTAACTTTTTGACCACATTTAATATAATCTCAGTTGATATTGATGCATGGGTTTGGAAACACTCCTGAAACGTTGCACCAAGTTTCCTACTTTTGTTGTTGTTGTTGTTAGCAAACAAGCTCATGTGTCCCTTTGCATGCGACTTCAGACTGATTATAGAGTCAAATGTTTTGTGTAAATGACCTGTCACAGCTGGAACAGGTTTCTATTCAATAGAAGATTAAGAAATCAAGAGCAGGAAACTCTCGGGTTACATCTGTAATCTGGTGTTGAATGTTTTGCACATGCTTTTAATCCGACAGTTGCGTGACAAAGAAAGAGTAAACATACTTGAGGTTGTGATCGCTGCATCGCTGCGTCTGTTATCTTAGAACACAATTAGCAGAAGCATCAAATCCATGAGGAGAGTGCAGCAGCCGTGGTTGTGTCTGAAGGTTGTAAAAGGCTTTTTAGTTGTGGGAAAATATGTTTTGTTTCTCTCTCAATAGAGCTAGGCTAGTAGATTCCCCCTGCTTCCATACTTTGTGCTAAGCTAGGCTAAACACATCTATTTCTGTTTTTGATGCTCAGAGATTAAACTGCTATCCATCCTCGTATTGACAGGATCGGCTGAGGAGCAGAACTGGGACTCTAAAAGCTTCTGTGTTTCAGTTTTCCCTCCTGACTACCCTCCTCCTCCTCCTCCTCCTCCTCCTCCTCCTGCTCCTGTAGGACGCTTTGTCACTGTAATGAACACAGCACTGTGGGAGTCAGGCAGCTCCGATAACAGGCAGACAGAGAGAAAAATGAGGGGGATATAGAGCATGTGCACCTTTCAACAACATCCACAAGGGGTCAGTGTTAGTCTCCCTGTGAGTCCAGCCTGTCTGTAGCTGAGTCCAATTTCAACTTCCACTGACTTGATAGTCGATGGTGTTGACTGGAGGGGTGGAGTATAAAAAGTGAAGTCGGACACATTCTACTTCCTGTAGCGTCAGTGAGCTCATAACAGTAGTGATTTTTTGTTTGTTTGTCTTTAAATATGAGTGTTATCAGTGTGTCAGGCTGTCACTCATAGTGTTTACTCAGTCAGTGAACCTTTGGACTGACCTGGTTTTCTGCATTTGATTGGTCATGAAATGTGATCTGGAGACAAACACAGTGTCCCTACACTAATATCACAAAAACTATTCTAATCTTTTGTGTCTTTATTGAACACATACACACCTCTGGTGGAATGATGGATTGGTGAACTGGTTGAACCTCCTTTGGTACCAATAACCTGAAACCATCTGGTCCAGTAGCTGCTGATCGGAGCTGCTCAATGTTCAGGAGGACGTTTAAACCTTTTTTCCTAATGGAGCAGCTTCAGCTCAGACAGATGCTCAGGATGTCGCTGCAAACAGCATCTCTACTGGATTCATTTTCCCCTCGATGATGTGGAGCAGAGCAGATTGTGATGCTCCCTCCACCCTGCTTCACCTTTGGGATGATGTATCCTAAACATTTCAACATTAGCTTCATTAGTCATTTTGTCATTCAGTCATTTGTTGTGGAGAGTCAAGCTGCTCTTTGCATGTAATGTTTGTGGAGAGCAGCAGCTTCTTCTGTGGTGTCCATGGCAGGACTCCATGCTCCATGATGTGTGTCTGGTTGACTCATGAACAGAGATGTTAACCAGCTCCAATGATTCCTTTAGGCTTTCAGCTGTTACTCTGGGCTTCTTTGTTACGTTACTGATCGTTCTGTGCTGAGCTTTTGGAGTCATCCTAGCTGGAGGTGTCACTTCTAGGGAGTGAAGATCTGAACTCTTTGAGATGACTCTGTAGCTCTTTCAGCGTCATGCTGATGTTTTTGATGGTAAGCTTTCTGAGATCTTTTCTGTGAGGCAAAGTTCACATCAGCAGATATTTCTTGTAAAGAGCAAACTCAAAATATTTTTTTTTAAGTCAAAGCGTCTCTAACCCACACCTCTAGTCTGGTTCCATCGACTTGATGTCAGGTTTGATAACTCCTGACTCCACTTAGCTTTTGTTCATGTCATTATCTGAGGGGTTCACACACCTCTTCCTATCCACACTGTGAAGGGACAAGAACGACGCAATGAGTTCTTAGTTAAAAAGATTGTCTTTGTCTATTATAACTTAGATGAGGATCATGGACATATTTTGGGACAAATTTACACACAAATGCAGGTGAAAGGGTTCACTCACTCTTTCTCGCCACTGTTAGTCTAAGTTTTATGAAAACATGGAGGGCGATGGGTTAAACCTGCTGGAGAAAAACTGTTTTGTTGAGAACCATAGACTTGTGAAGATAAAAGAAATCTTAAGGATAAAATATGACCTATAAGGTTATTACTTCTTTTACAATAACAAACTAAATTGTTTTTACAATTTTTCTTGTTGAAAAATATAGTGTTGGTGTTCATATAAAAAAAAAATAAAATAAAAAGAGCTGTCAGAAGGAGAGCCGATAAACTGCATCACCTTTGGGAGAGAGAACCTTGGAGATAATGGATCTGAAGTTCGTAGAATAAAAACGTAGAACAAGATGTGCATGTCTGAAGTTGTAAGCCAATCGGGAGGAAGTGTTGTCGTCACAGGTGGTGTCCAGTGGGCTGCTGTCTAACCAGCATGCATCGTGTTAAGTCAGCGTCGTACAGTCCAACACACGGCCAGCTCTTCTTCATGTCCTGAATCTGGCTTCTGTCATTTCTGCTTTGTTAAAAACACAATCTGTGAGGCCGGCAATAACGGGGCCTGTGTGCTGCATGTGTGATTAATCCAGTCAAATCCAGTCCAAGAAGAGGCCAACTGATGCAGGAATCTCTGTTGCTTGGAGCACAAAAAGAGCACAAACAGAAAATGTTTCGGTACATTTCGTATTATTTATTTATTTATGGGTTCAGACTTCAGAAAGAAAACCATGAAAAGGAACCCGAGAAGATTAAAGACGTGAATCCATTAAGAGGTCGACGGATGTAAGAGCACATTTTACTTTGACAGAGCGAGAGCGAGATGGAAAAAAAAAAGAGAAAAGTGCACAAACTCGAAACGTGGTTCTCAGATGATCATCGAACACATTTTCATTAAATGTTTTTTTTATTTTTTATTTGACGCCATTAGATGACAATGAAGGAATATGTTTACCTGTATGACACTGTTGAGAGCGAGCAGCAGGTGAACACCATGAGATTCTGTTCACATGAAGGGTCTCTGAGGAGATCATTAAAGCATTGTTGTGATCATTAAATTCTTGATTTGTTTCCTCTGGAAGATTTTTATTCTTCGTCCTGTTTCTCATCAGGTTTCTGAGCTCAGAGGAAATCAGATGCTGTGTTTTACCTCTAAAGGTGGAAACAACTGCTGCAAATACAGCATGCTGCCGACACCGTTAAGACAGCGGCACTACAAAGTTCTCCTTCTTAACATACATATGAAACATGTATGTATGTTTTATAAATCATTTACTTCATTATTTGGTAAAAAAAACAAACAAATCTTTAATGTAGTCAGATTATTACACCTTTTTTTGTTGAAATTGTGATGCAGTGATGTCTTTTTTGTTTTATTTAATTATGCTCACACTAATTTCTCGAAAAGATGTGAAACAGTTTTTCCTGAAGAAAATAAACCCAGTATCTCATCACGTTTTTTAAAAAAAAAAACAACCCTTAAAGTCTGAATATCCAGCTAAATGACCAGTTAAAGACGGGTGTTTTTTCGCAGCGAGGGCTGTTAAATGCCTGCAGTGAACTCTTTGCCGTCTGCAGCCCATCCATCCGGCCATGTCGTCGTGCGGCTGAATGGGTGTTTGAAACCCCTGCAGGAAGAGGACAGACAGCCAAATAATTTTCACAAGTGGCCCGGCGAGCGGTGCCACATGTTAACCCGGAGTCGTTGCAGAATGGCCCAGATTCTCCGTCCAGACGCGCCGCAGCCTTGACTGGAGGCCTTTTCTTTAAGGGCGGGCAGCAGGGCTGAAGAAAGAGGTCTCGCCATCGATTGATTTTCCTCACTTGCACTTGCCTGTATCCCACGCTTCAGGAGGCCCGAGAGCAGCCATTGATTGAGAGGCCACGCTGGTCATTCTTCCATTTTCCTCAAGACTTCCTCAATGAGCTGCTGTCTGTGTCATGGCCTCTCTCCTTTTAGTTTCCTCATTAAAGGAGGAAATGTAGGTTTTAATGATGGTAACAGCTGGCGGAGTGGTGGCATAATGTGCTGTGATATATTGTGATATTTGGAGACTTAAAATATCAACAGAATCTGATGCTTGAAGACTCTCAACGGCTCTCGGTTGTTTTTGTTTTTGATATACGTCCCCGTTATTGTTGATATTTGTATCCTCAGGTTAAGTGTCTCAGATTAGTAGTGTTCAAGTTATTTTCAGTATTGATTAATCTGTTGTTTAGCTTTTCGATCAATGAATTAATTGTAATTTGTGTAAATTGTCAGAAAAATGTCCATTTAGTAAATGTCCAATGAAGAAATACATGTATTGAATTACTGATTTGAGGCAAAAATATAAAAACCTTTTATTACTTTCGGAAAATAAAAAATTTAATTTATCATGTGAAGCACTTTTCACATTTGACAAAACAATCTCCGCTCAAGGTCCATTTAGTAGCTGTTCTGGAGCTTTCGATCAGTTACTCCTCGTCTATGTTGATTTAAAAGCTCCGTCTGCTCTAGTTGACCCTGAAAACAGCATTTTTAGCACTGATGGGCGAACTCTATTTGCTGATGAAGATCATATGATATGATCAAAAGCTCCAGAGCAGCTGATGCGTAGACCTTGAGGTTTGAGATGATAAACTGAAACTGATTTTACATTTCTGTCATACGTGGTGCACCATGACACCTGGACATGTCATGTATGTATGTGGGCTAATGTGAAAATAAATACATTTCACGTCTGAATTTAGAGCTGATACGATTGGTTGGTTTATTGATTGGTTGGCAACAATTTTGATAATTGATTAATCATTAAAGTATTTTTATGCAAATAAATAAATTGCGGTTTCAGCCTCTGAAAGTTGAAGATTTTCCTGCTTTTCTCTGTTTTATATCAAAGTAAACCTAATATCTTTTTTTGGTCAGACAAAACATTTGGAGACGTCATCTTGGACTTTGAGAAACTGGGATGGACATTTTCTTTTACTATTTTCTGACATGTTATTGACTCAACAGTTAATTGAGAAAATAATCATCAGTCTGATAATGACAATCATAATAGTTGCCTCCCTAGATAAATTCACATAAAGCCATAAATGGTTTCATGTGCTTTTTGTTAGGGAAGAATAACAGACCAAGTTTGCAGCAACACCATCAACAGTTTGTTTGAACCACATTTCTCCTTTAACCTGATGTTGTGTTTCAGGTATCTTTACGCTGTGGGACAGAGAGTGTGGAAACGCTGGAAAAGAAGATATTTTGTTCTCGTTCAGGTAAGAAACTGGTGAAACTGAGAGCAGGTGACATCTATTGATCCATGATCGATTCTGACATTGTGTTTTAATATCAGAGAGCCACTGCAGGCAGGAGGAGGGAGACTACAGGTTAAAAGTAAAACTAAAATGAGTCCACAGCAGCAGAGTGACATTAATGAACTGTTATTCCACAGAAGAAAAGACTTGACTTGTACAGATCCATTATCAGTGGGAATATGAAATAACTCATTAAACAGAAGTTTTTGTGTTTAAAATGCATTAGATCCTAAACTCAACCTTCACAGAGAATGTCCTCACACTGAAGCATCTCTTTCAGAAATTGATTTTGGAGTGGGAAGGCGAAAGAGGGAGAAAAAAAAAAGCAATTTAAGGTTGTTAAAGAAAATCATCTCACATCAGCCGCTCTACCTGAAAGGTTTTTACATCTCGGCTGTGCACAAGAGTCCTACTGAAGCAAAGTAAATGAAGTTTTACACTTTTTAATTTCAGCTGTTATGTACTTCTGGAGGACTTAGTGATCACTCAGAGCAAGGGTAGACGTTCAAATGAAAATGTCGCCTTTGTGAAACAACTCTTCTTGTTTCCCGTCCGACTGAAAGTCCTTTAAAGGCATCAGAAGGTCTTTCCATTTAGACTCGTTTATATTGTACTGATTGTGGTTTATGATGTTAATGGTTCATTCAATGTTTGACAACATTTTTACTCTACGCTGTGGTTTAAAAATCATTCTGTTTAGTGATCATTAAAGAACATTTTCACCAGTTGCAACTTTATTTAAACAGAAGTGGAACGTCTGCTTTGTTTTGCCAGTTTTCAGCCAGGGCCGGAGACATTACACGTTCCATCCCATTCTCCTGAACGTGACATGTCATTATACAACAGTTGGTTCCAACCAAGTAATTTGATTGGACGAGAGGCATTCCATGAATGCTGATACAGGGTATAACAGCACTGGGACTTTAACTACATGTATCACTCTGCCTAATCATTAATTAGCGTTACATTAATGATCGTTATCTGTCTTAGATTGTAACAAACTTTGCAAAGATGAATATATTTCCAGAAATAACATTTGAGTTGAATGATGTATGAGGTCAGAAGAAGATGAAGGGAAGAAGCCATGATACATGATACAGTGCACACCTGAGGTAACGTGTAGACAAAGTAGCAAGCTAGTGTGCACTGTGCAGGTCAGGAGAATGTTTGTGTTGCTTAGCAACAGTCCAGTACCAGTCCAGTTGCGGAAGTATTTGTGTTGGTGTAGCCAAATAAATGATGAAATAAACAAATGATAATTATTTAATATTGCACTTGTAGAACTGTTGTATAAAAGCAACATCACAGGAGAGTGAGTGATGTGTTGAATATCAGCTCAGCTGTGATTGGTCAGGACAATCACAGCTGAGCTGATATTCAGCACAACATCCCTCACTCTCCTGTGATGTTGCTTAAGTAACACCTTGAGGAAATTTCTTCAAATTTGACACAAACGGAGGGGAAGGATGAACTGATAAGATTTTGGTGGTGAAAGGTCAAAGGTCACTGTGACCCCAAAACACATTTTTGGCCATAACTCAATAATTCATACAAATTCATGATTATAACCCAATTAAACACAAATATTTGATAGGCATACAACCGCAAAGTGGTTATTCTAATTATGATATGCGATCGTTAGAAGCTGCTGGTCGTAATGAACCTACAGAGAATTATCAGTTGAATCTGCAGCTCCCCTCGACTTAACGGAGCTTTATAGTTTATAGTTTTAGTTTATATATTTAAAGAGTTTCAGTTTGTTGTGTATCTGTCCAGACGACTTTTCTGTTCTGGTTCACTCCTATCGTGTTTTTGGCCACAGCAGCTGCTGATGGTTCTTCTCCAGGAGCAAGTTCACCATTTTTACAGCTGAAGATTTTCAGGGTTGAGACATTAACAGTTAACTTAAAGCATATCTTAGGACACATCATGAAACTCAACTAGAGACTATGCTTCCTACATAAAAGCTCTATGGGAAATGAATGGGCTCTGGAAATATGAGAGAACCAAACATGTACCCATGTGTGTTAGGACGGCTTGTGCTTCTGAAGTGTGCCGTGACTTGTGGTTGATCAGTGTCTTTGTCCTGCAGGTGAGTCAGTACACGTTTGCCATGTGCAGCTACAGAGAGAAGAAGGCGGAGCCTCAAGAGCTAATGCAGCTGGAGGGCTACACGGTGGACTACTGCGACCCTCAGCCAGGTAGACACACCTTACTTTTTACATTTCCAAGTCTCCACGGCTAAATTCAAATGTAAACAGGAAGCAGATCGTCTACACCGCAGTGATATACGAGCTGCATTCAGTACAAAGCCATTCACGTGACCTTCCTCCTCCTCAGGTCTGCAGGGCGGCCGGGTGTTTTTTAACGCGGTGAAGGAGGGCGACCTGGTGATGTTCGCCTGTGACGATGAGCAGGACCGGGTGCTGTGGGTCCAGGCCATATACCGGGCCACCGGGCAGTCCTACAAACCGGTCCCCCCGCTGCAGAACAAAACCGCAAACTGCAGAGGAGGACTTCAGAAACCAGCGTCCCCCATCAGTAGGTTCTGATCCTCACTGGGTTGGTTTGTAAAGTGAAAGTACTGAGCAATCTGAAATCTGCTTATTTAGCCTGATATTATAATTCATAAAAGTGTATCTTTTAAAACTGCACTAACTTTCATTGAAAAGTTTAAGATTGAAAAGACCTTTGTATCAACAGCATTTGATGACTATATTCTTGACGTTTACAATGTTATACATGGATTTACAAATGAGGTGGCCACTTGTGTTCAGCCTCCAACTTGGATTTGGCAACAGACGTTTGACTGATCCTGAATCTTTGTTTGATATTCAGGGTTAAAAAAAAATGTCTCAAAATTTAAATAGTGTTGGCACCACTCAGGAGGTGGAGCTTTATGTGGCTGTGATCTGTATTTAAACTCTTTCTTTGTATTCGTTTTGCTTCTTCTTTTTTCTTCTGTTGTTGCCTACTTTCCTTCTTTTCTCTCTTTTTTGCCCTTTACCCTAATCTGCCACTGCTTTCATCTCATCTTTCTTTCCGTCTCCTCTGCCTTCCCTTCCTTATTCCTTCACATTGTTTCTATTTTTTTTTTTGTTCCTTTTTTCCAATTAAACATGATGTTTGAAAAGTGGAACAGACAGACAGGCAGCAGGATCTCAAGACTGAACTTATGTGGGGGCTTTGATTTGTTTGCAGTTCACTGATTGGTTGCAGGTACACACACACACACACACACATACACACACACACACACACACACACACACACACACACACAGTTGGAGGCAGATCGAAACAGGTTAACAGCATGTAGGTTTCACTGCTGTGAGAGAGAAAACACAAGAGAAGAAGAGAAAACAAAGACTCAAAATAAGAGACTCTCTCTTCTTCAATACAACACACCATGTATCTGTTTTTCTTTCCCTCTTTTCCTGTCATTCATCCCTCCTTTTTCCCTCCATCTTTATTTTCTTCCTCTTTCTTCCAGCTTCCTGTCTTCATTTCCTCTTCCCATATTTTCTCTTTTTTTTTCTGTTATATTTCCTTTTTACGCCTCTTTCATTTGTCTCATTTAATTTTTCCCTTCCCTTCATCACTTTCCTTTCCTCCTTTCTTGCTCTTTTCCCACATCTTCTTTCTTTTTTTTTTAATCTCCACCCTTTCCTCCATTCCTCTTTCTTTAATTCTCTTCCAGTCTTCCCATCCGTAGCCCCTTTTACTCCCTGGGTTTATTTTCTTGTCTTCTTCGCTGCCCTTTTTGCTGCGTTTGCCAGTAACTGTTGATCAGCAACAAACAGCATTGGGATCCACTTGTAAAAACGTCGCTAAATGGCGCTTTTAGAAAACTTTTTTATTTTCCTGTTTGGCACATTTCTTCCTTTTCTTGTCTTTCTCCTTCTGTATATTCTGCCCCTACTTTGATTTGTTCTTTCTGTCCTCTTAACTTCTGTAATATCATGTCTTTGCTTCAACACACACAGACTTCATTTCTTATTTTCCCCCTCTATCTACAAATCATTTAATTTATTATCTGCGGGAGGAGGGCGGCGGCGGCGGTGGCGGCGCTTGTGTGTGCTCGGCTGGCTGCCTCCTCCTGGCCGAGCATTGTGACATGAAGAGCTTCATACTGAGAGCTGATTATGACAGTATTTGTGTAATTTGGTGCAGCGGCGGCCTGTTCTTGCCGCCGCTCGTTAGTGTTAAATGGGAAAGATTGAAGAGTTAATGGCGAGAGGTGCTGACATGCTGTTTGCAGGTGGAAATAGAAGGTGTCCCTGAAATAGCTCTTAACTGGGTGCTAAGTGCCTGTGTGTGTGTGTGTGTGTGTGTGTGTGTGTGCGTGTGTGTGTGCGTGTGTGTGTGTGTGAGTGAGTGAGTGAGTGTGTGTGAATGTAATAATGGGTTTGACACAAAGTTGTTCTCGCTTTAATAACGATTGTGTCAGTGAACCTGCATCTTCGTCTCTGCTCGTAAAAAATGAAAGGCGGAGGTTAAATAACACTAATGATTGCATGTGTACACACTGGCGAGCTTTTATGCAGCTACATGCACATGCACATGCACACGCACACACATGGACGGGTCATTTAACATTAACGAAATCATACTTCTCCCATCTTGACTTGTGGAAAAAGCAGCGTTTTCCGACACAAACGATCCATTCTTCTCTGTTTGAATGTTAATAACTGAGAGCGAACAGGTGAGACAATGAGAGCAGAGACACAGCATCTTCTCCTTTGTGTGTCTCCGGCTCAGAACCGTTCTCAGCTTTGTGCCTTCGGATGCGTCTCGGAGCACAAAGAGCGAGCAGGCAGCGGCAGATTTTATTGATTGGCGCGTGAGAGCAAATAATGAAGCTGTTTACACGTGGAAGTCGTGTCAGAGGCTCACACACAGCAGGCAGCTGATGGTTATTGTTGTTACTCTGCTGAATGGATCCCGCTCTGTAAATTCTCAGCTTCTGTTTTCAGGGATCAGCTCTTCCTCCTGTTTACTGCCAGAGGTCCAGCACATGTTCTCACACTGATTGAACCGGTTTAATGAAAATAAACCTGATTCTTTAATGTCATTCAGTTTGACTATGAACTATGACTGTTCTACAAGCTTAACTGTGTGTTTGTTACTGTAACCCTGACGACAAAGGTCTGGTACCGTATGGGCGTCATGTCAGGAGGCTCTCCTCTGGGTCTTATCAGAGGTTAGGGACAAAGACCTATATGGACTTTTTTAATCCTCCGATATCTCTCGGCTGGACTGAGGATTTTATTTGTCACCATACAAAAAAAACTGGTTTGATAAACTATGTAAAATAATTTCCAACTTCGTGTGGCAGGAAAAAAAAGCGAGGTGTTCATACGTCAGGATGTCAAGTTCAAACAGAAAAAGCTGGACACTACAACTACCCAGTTTCTTTCACCATTATCTGTGTAATGTGTGTTTAAACACTGACATGAAAAGTTTATATTTTGTGAAATTTATGGAAAAACACAAGACAGGCCTTTTGTGGTACAAGAAAGGCAGTAAGGAAATGTAAAATACTAGTAGATCATAAACTCTGCTTCATCTGTGCTTCTGTAACAAAGAAACATGGTTTGGCAATAATCCACAGCAGCAACATGTTTGTACTGGGAGATCTGCAGGACTGGAATATCTTTAAAATAAAAACACAAATATCTCTATCTAGAAGTTAATCACAAACTGCTGGATTTCATGAAATGTGCCAATTCAGACAGAATGCATGACAGCAGAGAAATGAATAATTAAGTTAGAAAGGGTTTTAGACTGAGGCAGAAGATGCTGAACAGAACACGGGCTGGAGGGGAAATGTACTTAATGTCACTATAAAATTCAATCTAACACCACATTTTTTATTTCCGTCTCTAAATTGAGTTAATAATTGTTTTCTCCTTCTTCTGTCAGTGTTGTTTTATAATATTGACATTGCATTTTCCATGTGCTGTGAGCTGTAGGTGCAGTGACAGCTGAAGGGTAATGATAATGTTTATGATTGCTGTTGTTTGAGGTGCAGGAAAAGGTTTGGTTTAGACGAGATAATTGGTTTGACTTGTGTCTGTTTCTGGACTCCGAGACTTTGGGTCACATATATGAAGTCGGTAAAAAAATATACTATATTCTTAACTGACTTCATATATGTGTATTTATCTGCTTTCATCTCCATAGTCCGTTCGGTTCTCTGTCTGTGCCCTTGAAAACTTTATACAATTTTTTTTTAATCTTTTTTTTTGACAGTTGACATCGTATGTGGTGGTTAGATTTAAATACACAGTATGTAACTTCTGCCCCTAGGGGTCTCTCAATGAAAACAATAGTAGCGTGGAATCATGGGAGTTGTTGTCTTCACCGCCATCGCTGTGAGCTTTTTTTCCGGTTTGGATTCCTTCAGTGTCGGTGGTTCAGGAGGTTTTTTACCTGCAGCTGAATTATCCACAGAGGTCTCCTCCTCTCCACAACAAACACACCATTAAACCCAACAGAAACCCTGAATAACAGTTTCACATTTAAAGTATGAGTCGGTTTGGGAGCTGAGACTGATGCTAACCTTTGATTGTTTGGTTACTTCAGATGCGACGTCGGACGAATAAAATCCTTCATCTGGTTGAAATATATAGTTGAAAACAACCAAGGTGTAAAAAGTATCTTTAAAATGTCACTTTAAACTGGATAAAAGTAAAGTTTTGACGCTTCTGGCAACAACCACAACGCCAACATATCCACATCATCACGTCATCAACAGGCGACCAAATGAAACAGAGCATTACCTCGATTAAAATCACAGATTTCTCTAGGTTTGAAAATAGATGGAAGCAGATTTGTTCTGCTATCTGCCATAGGTCTAATCATTGTTAGACATTTTAATGTGGAAAAGTCACATGTTATAGCTTTAACCACGCTCCGTTAGAAAAGAAAAACAGATGAAAAGCAACAAAGCAAGGAGAAAAAAATGCAAATTATTAAGAAGAAAACCTTTTGGTTCCATAAATAAAATCCAGGCTTTTGTCTTGATGCTGTTTCATGGTCAGATTTCAGCAGCTGGTCTTTCCTGACATTCTCAGCTCTGAAGTGAAAACTCTAAACAAAAGGACAAACAGACAAGTGTGAGTTTGCTAAAGAAACTCGAGTAGCTATCACTTCCTGTCACCCTCCTGCCTGTTCGCTGCAGCCAGCAGTTCACGTAAACAAGAATGAAACGGACCAGCGTTCAAACGACCCGCAAACAAAGTCCAAACACGTGGAAATCATGGAAGGCTGTGGGGACTTTTCGTTGCGACCTTTGACCTGAAATCCACTTTTATCAAAGAGACCGTGAAGTCCTCCCTCGCTGTCAACAGATGGGCCTGTTGGGGGTCGAGGCCGATCCTGAAGGTGTTTTTTCGGGGATGTTTACACCTGTCAGTTGTGTTTTTGAAGAAGCAGGTGGTCAGTTTGACAGCGAGGATGATCCTGAGGAGCGGCGTCCAAACTGTCCTTTCGCCTTAACCTTCCGAGGATTCAGCGGCGCCCTCAAACGCAGCACAACAGCTGAGGATGTGTTCATGTGCTTCTCTCAAACTTTTCCCCCGAGTTGAGTTTGTCCGTTTGAGTTCTCCGCTGCGAGACGCCCCGCACAGCCACACGGAGGCTGATGGGCTTGTCCGTCCGCATCTTCGTCTCAGCTCGCCCTGACATCGTCACCGCCATGCTCTGACAGGCAGATCAAGTCACATCTCTCAGCCCGGTGCACCTGAAACTGAAACGCTCTCCATCCTCCTCCTCCTCCTCCTCTTCGTCCGCATCAATAACCTGCCATCAGCGACCGCCACCACCTCTCAGAGCAGGATGTCACATAGATGTGACTGTTGCTGTGACGATACCAATGAAGCTCAGACGAGATGGATATGGAGAGATCGAGCGCAGAGAACTAGCCTCACCCTCCCACCTTCAACACACACACACACACACACACACACCTCAGCGCTCAAACATCCTCACACATGTTATAAATATCTATAAAAATCTAGACATACACAAACAATACGTAGTTAATACCTTTCAGTTCTACACTGGTTCTAGTATTACACGTCTACAGTGTAACGCTGTTGGACTCTACAGGTGTAATACTGAAAGAAAAACCCTGCAGATATTATACTATTTGTTAAAAACTTGGCACCTGCATTACCCAGCATGCATCTGCATACAGATAGGAGTTTTGGTGTGTTAAAGCCAGTAGTACTTCCCAAGATCTGCACACAGACTTTAATGTGTAAAATCTGTGGAGTTGCACTTCAAGGACGTGGACACACAAGGTCTGATAGTTATAATATTAGATAATAATACAATAATAGATGTAATGTGGGATTCACCGATCTGATCTCACCGAGTCTGATCCACTACGGTTCAGTTCTTGTTGACCCTTTAAACATTTAGTGTGTTTATTTGCTAATGTAGACCATGAGATGTGACTGAAAGCTTGTGAAGTGGGAGAAATAATTTTAATTAACAGAAATTGTAATGATGTAATAATCCCAGGTTTGCGGTTGATGTCCACCTCACTGATAAATCTCTCTGGGGAGTTTACAGTCCTCGTTGTTCAGCTTTGAGTAGAACATCAACTTTTATTTTCCTCCGTTTTGCCTCTTGACAGAACATTGGATCAAACCAATCGGGTTATTTAACGTGCGGGGATGGACGGCAGAGAGGGAGGTGGTCACCCATAACACAGAGCTTACATGTGTCTTTGCAGGACTGTGATTCCAGGTTATAATCCCAGAGATTTTTCATGAAGGGGCAGACCTTGATATAAATCATAGTCTGCATTTTTCAGTAATAACCTACCAGATCGTTTACATTCTGTAGTTAATTCTCTATATAGTACTTCTCTATAAATTGGTCTCAGACTTTAAGACCCCTCCGTATGTTCAAAACCTACTTGTAAAACCATCGGTTTGTTTGGCTGCACTGTAAACATTCTCCAGACGCTCTCTGTTGTATTTCTGACAAAGTTATACTGCTGTTCGAAACCACACTTGCTTTCACCATCAGTGACTGAGCGTCAAATCATCCAAGACTGAAATCTGAAGGATTAGATCTTTGATCTGAGTTTGAACTAAACCAGAGTTTGTTTATTTTGTGTTTAACGAGAATTTGAAAAACAGAAATCTGTCAATGTGAATGTCACAGTGATGAGAAACTGTTCAAAAGATACAGAGTGAAGAAACCTGCAGACAGTCTGGATTAAACACACACACACACACACACACACACACACACCATCTGTGCCAGGAGCAGTGACATCCATCCATATTTTCTGTCACACACGCTCATTCACTCACTCACACACTCACACCCCCCACCCCCCTTCTTTAACACACACACACCCAGCAGATAATAGCTGAAAGTTGGACTTGACACGGATCAACATCACTCCTCCGCCGTCTGTCCCCCAATCAATACTCCCCCCCCCCCCCTCCTCCCCCCCTCTTCTTATTATCAGCACTAATCTATATCCCTTTGTCTCGTTTTCTTTAGAGTCGCCTCCTTCACTCCCTGTCTTTTCTCCAAATTACATTAAGGACAATCCCGTGTTTTGGAGGTAACGAATGTAAAATGACCTACATCGGAATTAGACAGAGGGAAAGCAGGCCACGGGAGCCAAAGGGCAGCCAGACACAGAAAAGTCAGAAGAAAAGAAGACGGGAAGAAAAGGAGAGGAGCGTCGATTGGAAGTTGATTGTGGAGATTTCACTTTTGCTGTCTTTTTTTTTCTCATTTGGACAAAAGCGACAAAGGGAGGAGGGAGGGGGGGTGGGGGGGGACGGATGAAACACAAATGTCTGAGAGTCCTTGCGGGCTTCTATGCATCCACACAAAAACAAAATGGCAGCGTTAATAAAAAAGCGATCACTAATGCTCGTCTCGGGCACGAGGCCGCGGGCGTCGCAGGCGTGGAAACAGCGCCGGCATTCTTTCGAGCGAGCCGTGGTCTTTTGTGGGGCCATGTGTCACGCTCAGAAACTTCCCATCCCGAAATGTACTCCCAACAATAAAGGCAGAGTGGAGAGTGTTAGGCTTTTCATTTGACGGGGCCATTAACAGGAAGGCCTGAAAGGACTGGAAATGAACCCAGGTTTGCTCAGGCTGGGACGCCCCGCGCCTCTTCTGCTTCTTTTCTTTTTCCAGTTTTCTGTTGATTCTTCCGCCGCTGACCCCGAAGCCTCGTTATCATCTGCCGCTCCGGGCGCCGCAAGAAGAGACGAGCTCCAAAGTGTCTGTTCTGCTGTCTAAAAATACATCACTAGTCATTCCATCTTTACTCAGAGTTTGAATCTGGTGATCATTTCCTTATTGTTAAAAAAGCCTGTTGTGTCTTCTTCCTCTGAGCCATCGAGCGCCGCTGTTTCCAAAAACTATTGGAACACATCAGTGAGTCACACTGTGTCAGCCGCTGAAAATAGAACCCAATAAATTCACAATTTACTCCTGTAAAGTAACATTGGCTAGTTGTTTTGGAGTCTTTTAAAAAAAGAAATGAAAGTATATATTCATGAGTTGATTTTAAAGATTTATCTCTTCAGTAGGAACCAGAGAGTTCGGAGCAGGAAAGTCAAAGTACTGAAAGGTACAGTGTGTTGATCAGGTGTGCTACTGTCCAGCAGGTATGAAAGGTCAGTGTAAGTGCAGAAGTGTCAGTCTTCATGTGTCCTTCAGAGTGCGGTCTATCATAACATGCAGCTCTGTTGGCGTCGCTCGACTAATACTGTAACTAATCTGTGAAACTGTGAAGCACTTCCTGGTTTTGAGTCTTAATAACTGAGGGAGTCGGATACCCCTCTCTGTCTTCATGCGGCCTGATGAACATGAAGCAGTGCGCACCCTCCGAGCCTGATCCTCCTGCTGCAGTTGATCCGTGATGTGTTGTTGTTTGTTGTTTGGACCGTGTGAGTCACTTCCAGTGTTTTTCCTCACGTCGTCCATGTTGGCGAGTGTTTGTGTCAGCTGAGAGCTCTGACAGCTTCACAGAGGAGCTGTAGCCAACCGAGGTGGGAACTATTAACCACAGCACTGAGAGCTGACACTGCCAATGTAGTCCTATCTGTGTGTGTGTGTGTGTGTGTGTGTGTGTGTGTGTGTGTGTGTTGTTTCTTTCTTTCTTACCAGAAAAAATAATTCACTTAAAATACTTAAATTTCACTAGATACTGTAATCTCATCCAGCTGTTCTAAAATCAAATGTTTGGTCAAATCTTTTCATTTTCCATGATTTTCCAGATAAAAGTAGCTTGGTAACATATCGGGTTTCTATTTTTCTATTTAATTTACACAGTGAAACAAGTTAAAATGAGATATTTTCAGCACTATTTAGATGATTTTTTTTTTTTTTCAGTTTTTCTGATGCAAGTTCTCTAAAGAATTAGTGTTGAATTTTATTTCTTTTGATGAAAAATCTTTTTTGTATTCAGGGGTCATGCTTAATGCCATCATGTATTTATTAGTTATTGAAATGGAGAGTTAATAACAATAATAAACTTTATTTACACAGCAGCTTTCATACAAGAAACGTAGCACAAAGTGCACAAAGAGTTGAGGTCGTGGTGGTGAATGAAGTCGTCACACATCTGAAGACTGGAAGCACAATGATCATATTTCATTAACTTCAACTTGATTTTAACTAAGCTGCTGTTTGAAACAGATACTTTACAAAAAACATTTGCATCGTCCCTCTCTGTGTTTCCTGTCCAGGTCTGGATCCGTCTCAGCGGCAGGGGGTGGAGGAGCTGATCTCTGCAGCGCCGAGTCGCTTCGACCACGCCGCCCTGTTCGCCATCTTACAGAAACACACTCTGCAGCACCGCATGAACGACTCCTTCTCCTGCCTGGTACGTCAACGCAAACAGATCATCTGACACACTCTGACACACTCCACTACCCAGAAACCAGCCGCGAGTCGAACTGATGTTGTTGGGTTTTTCGTTGATAAAGTTTGAGTTGGTCGAGGCGGCGCTCCACTCTCTCAGACTCAGTGTCAAAAATGTGAGGTCACATTCAGTCGACGCCGTGTTGAAGTTTTGTGAGAGAGGAAAACCGAGTGGCCGCCGTCGACCCCCAGGTCCTGGGAAATGACAGAACACAAACATTTCATTCTGTTCATTTTGGTCATTTTTTAACTATTTCCTGACATTTTATAGACAAAACAATTGATCAGCACTCAGCAGATCAATCAGTAATAAAAGAAGAACTCGTACGTAGAAACGACTCAGAGTGGATGGAAAAGAATGAGAAAGACACTAAAACTTCTCAGGAGACAGTCTGAAGCTCTCTCTCTCTCTCTCTCTCTCTCTGTCTCTCTCTCTCTCCCCTTCCCTCCCTCCCTCTCTCCCTCCCTTTCTCTGTTTAAGCCTGGGGGGCTCTCTCACACTGATTGAGGGGATAAATGCTCTAATCAATACTTCCCAAATAGGAACATGACCCTCATGGACAACTGCTGGGCTGTCTCAATGGAGGAGGAGGAGGAGGAGGAGGAGGAGGGGGTGGGGGGTGAAACCTAAATAAGTGAGGAGGGGAGTGAGTGGGTGGGTGAAGGTTTTTGTGTTGTGTGCAGTTAAGCAGGAACCATGAACCTCCGACATTTACTTTATGTTTTTAGTGTAATGCCTGAAGCTTCCTGTACAGTCTGTCCCGCTGTTGTCCACTTCCCTTTAGAGCGGCTGAATCTCAATCCTCCACTTGACTTGTTAGACTTGAAAACAAACATTCGAGTCCTGGAACAATAAGTCCTCCAATATTCAGCTTCAAAGAACTTGGCCTAATAACAGCTTTGAAAACGAAATGCTCGACTGCCGCGACATTTTAATGGTAAAAACTCTTCAAAGAGACTTGAAAGACTCTCAGTTTCGTTATGAGGACTGGACTTGAGTAGCGTTTACATCACACAGGGTCACTGACCTGTGGTTATATAGATTCGACTTGGTCTTGCCCAGAAGACGTTCTTGAGACTTGCTTTTACAAAATCTGAAATGTGGCCTGGACCCCCCCCCCCCCCCACACCAACACACACACACACACACACACTACACACACACACACAAAACAAAAAAAACCTTGTGCTGCTTCCATCCCTGACACAAGATGGCAACAGAGAGGAGGAGAAAGAAGCCATTGGGTTGTTTTTGTGTTTCGGTGTGGACAGAGAAGTTTTCATTAGTGACCTGTAAAACACTGATCACATGTTCTTCACATGTAATCAGCATCTTCTTGGTATCAATGTGGACGTCTAAAGGGAAATCCACACAGCAGCATTCTGAAGCACCCGCTGAACTTCTCTCAGGTTTTCTCACTTTTTACAAAGAGGTCAGAATCAGAAACGGAGTTTGTGAGATGAAATGCGCGACAGAACCGTTATGTCGCAATAACAATCAGGAAATATATTTTCTTAATTTCACAATTACTGAAAGCAGAACCGATGACGTTGGAGCTGATCGATACTTCTGCCTTTAAACATTTAGACCGTCTAACACCGGGTTTTGCTGCCCATCACTAGCTATCAGTCGAATTTTCAACTTTGTTTGTTGTGTTTTGTTAAATGAACTAGACTCAGACACAAGTGTAGGGAGGTGGAGAGAGTCTGTGACCATTACTAAACAAAATCACACAAATAGGACAATTACACTTAAGGGACAGTGAAAAGGCACCAACATTAACTGATAAACAAAAGATCCACAAGACCTAACATCTGCCATCACAACATTATCATATTCGTATCATTAACACAGTATTTTATTTTTTAAATATAACGGTCATATTACGTCTATACTGACATATCGTAACACCCGTCGCATAGATTATGATGCTGGTGGTTCTCAGCACTTGCAACCAATTTCACTACATTTCTGACTAAAATGAATTAACCTTAAAACTCAAGACAGTACTGTTTTTCTTATTATCTTCCATTTTTCTGTTTTCTGTTCATCTATTCATCCTAGTTCATTTATGTCCCGTGAAAATCATCATCTAGAATCTAGTCTGTTCTAGTCTGTCTGATCTATCTTTAGATATTCTCTCAGAATCCATCAAATATTATCAAGGATGAATAGAAATAGTTCATATTTTTCTATCAATTTCTATGACAAAATGTATAAAAACTTGAAGTGCTCCTTGTTCAGGGTTAAATCATCCTTTATAACGGCATGAAGACCATCTCTGGAGTCTAAAACTCAAACACAATCTAATCTTGAGGAGTCAGCTCATCCTGACATGTGTGGCGTTGTGTTCTTGTCTTTTATAATCGCGGAGATGTTCACCAGAGTGACATCTGTGGTTCTTTCATTTCTCTACCTGCCTCACCAGGACTCCTTCCAGCACTGCAATTAGACCGATCCATTCACACTGCCCCTCCAGCTTTTCTCTCCTCAGCCTTTTGTGAAAACTCTTGGGCTTTGTGTTCCAACCTGAGCCCCCTTTTCACCAAGCGCTCTGAGAAAAGGCCAGTGCTTCGGCGTGGGGGGACATCTGTTGAGAAGTGGCTTGGATTCATGTCGTAGACGGGGTCATATTTTATTCACAAAGAGTTGAACCCAACAACAACAACAGTAATTAGGCAGAAATTTGGTTTGTAGCTGGGCCCAGAGTCTTGCTAACTGGATCAATGTAGTAGCACTGGTGACTGAAGGGGTCAGATCTCCTCAGTGAAGCTGCTGCTGGACTGTTGAGGTCCAGCTGAAATGGGTTCTTCAATTAGCTTAATCCAAAGCCATAAGTACAGTATTTACACAAAAGCACTTAAGACCAAACCAGAAAATCATCAATTACTCAAACATGTCGATCCACTGACATTCAGTTTTTACCTGATGAACATTTGAGGACCAGCAAGTCTCGAGTTTGATCCAACACACAAGTCAGAAAGGCTTTGCTGGGGCGTCCTGTAGCGTAGTGGTTTAAGCAGGCGCCCCATGTGTAGAGGCTACAGTCCTCGCTGCAGTCGGCCCCGGTTCGAATCCCGCATCGGACGGCCCCTCACTGCATGTCATTCCCCCTCTCTCTGCCTCCCCGTTTCCTGTCACTCTCCACTGTGCTGTCCATTAAAGGCATAAAAGCCCAAAAAAATATACTTTAAAAAAAAAAGAAAGGCTTTGCTGTGCAAGAACGTTGTAGTTACTGTTGCCTACAGTGAGAAAAAGATAGAACAACAGATATTCGATTAACCAAAAGATAACATTAAGACCCATAATGCATTCTGCTTAATGGGCTGCTAAAAAGAGCCTTTTGCTAAAAAAAAAGACATTAGGGGCTGTGTTGGTGAGAGCATGTTGTTTCAGTGAAATGCAATCCAGGAAGTCCAGACAGAGAAATAGATCCATGAGTTTGGAGGCAGAAGGACAACCTCTTAACACACCTGCCATATTATAAGGTTATAAAATAGTTTACATCCACATCCCTTTGCTAACATCATAGCCACAACTATTTCATAAACCGATAATACATCAGCTGTTTTTAAGCTTCTTCTGCTGCCCCCCCCCCCCCGAGACCAAAAACTTCATCGATGTAGCTTCAAACAACCATCGCTGAATGTTACATTTGTTGTTGGTGTAGCACCAGCTGAATCCCCGTACATTCAACGATTACTTAACCCCATTAAATGATTTATTTCCCCCCAAAAATGCCCCTTTAACTTTAACTAACCCTAATTAAAATATCATATATATTGTATATATCTTGAACTTCACTGTCAGCTGACTAGTCAAATCATCAGCAGCCTGTCATCGTCCCAGGAGCCCCCCCCTCCCTTCCCTAAACCTCTGGCTGGTGAAGCAGAAGTAAAAGGGTCATGGGATCATGGAGAATGAGCACTGAACTGGACATCATATGAAGACTCAATATTTACCTCTCCACGCTCTTTTAATCTCCTGTGATGTAACTCTGACCCACTTTGGTTTCCTGTCCGCCTTCAGTCTTGAGAACTTGAGATGTCTTTGTCTCCGCCTTCACTTTCGGAGGGCGAGGACTCAGGTGTCCTCATCCTCCCATCAGTCCTGTCTGAGTGTCCTGCTGTCAAATTAACTGTGGAGCCCTACCATTATTCACTCTAATATAATTACTCACATCTATGCGTGCACACGGTTCAGGCTCGAATCTGAAGCTTCGCAGTGATTGAGTTGTGTTTGTGCTAATTAGAGGAATCTGCAGATGAAGAAGAAGAAGAAGAAGAGAGAGGCTCCAGATTGCGTTGCAGTGTTCACATGGAGATGAACCGCTGACCTCCAAAGGAAAAAAGCCGAACAGAAAAATATTCGGAGAGATTTACCAATATTTGTGTTTTGCATCTCCTTGTGATTAATGCAGTGATTAAATAACTCGTCCCTCTGCGACTAGACGGGATAAACATCAGCATTTTTTAGCAGGTAGCAGTCAGTGGAGCGATGATAGGGTTTTGAGGACAACACAGATTTCAAGGTTTGTTTTTATAACAATATATCTTTTTTTCATATATTTGTAGTAGATGCAATAAACTAATGTAGAATTAAATATGTATGTCATATATTACACAACATGACAATCACATTACATTTTTTTATTTTTAAAACCATTGTCTCTTTTTCTAACAGTCACCTGTATGTTCAAAGTTAAAAGTCAAGAATGAGCATTTTAAATCCTTATCTTAATCTAAATTAACTGTCATTCTGATTAATCAATAATTGTTACATAATCACAGCTTCCCAAAGCCCAAGTTGACGTCTTCAAACATCTTTATTCGTCTTAACGAACAGTAAACAAAAACACAAACCTGAAATGTGAATCCGAGAATCGGAGAGAAAACTGGAACCAGAGGAATGGTTTGTGATTGTTGTCAAATTAATTAATTTTCACGAAGTAATCAATAATT